GAAAGGAAATTTAGGACACAACGAAAGAAATTTCAAAAATTTTGACAAATCTCTACAAATATATTGTTTAGTCTGCATTTTACTATAAAAGGATGAGGTTTTCTATCCCAAATACACTTGTTAGAAGGGTGTAGTCCGAGAGATTGGGTGGAGGCTTGCGCTGACAATACGGGGCCTGGACGGCATATATCTCTTCTGTAACTTGCATATTCTACAACTGAAATGATCATATAAATTTTGGGTGGGTTTCCTCTTTATTTCTCTCACTCTGAAACGAGTGGAATGAGTTTTCGTTCTTCAAGACGTGATTTTTGTAGGACTTGTGGCATTTATACTAAGCGCATAGTAAATATTTACGTAATATACGTTTAATTAAACTTTTAAATTAGTTTTATCTTTATAAATGACGTAACGGATAGATTTATCATTCATTTAAATCAATAAATCCTACTTTATGCTTTTATAGAAAGATTGACATTGCTAATCCATAATTAATCATCTTCCGCGGTCATCGATTCAGGGATTTTCTTTTCTTGCCATTATCTTATCTGCTCGAAATTCAAATATATATAATTATAAAAGAATAAGCCGATTGTAATATCAAAATAAATTTGAAAATAGTTTTTTTTTCCTATATTAAAACGACGAAAAAGAGTAGAGTTAAGGAACTTCACGAAAACTGTAGCCCAATTTTTCTATGTTTACCAAAGAAACTGTAAGTAAGTCTATTGAGATGAGTGAAGAGCTTGGAGGAGTGAAAATTCTGATAAGGAAAAGAAGTGTCAACAGTTTTTCTCATGTCGGAATTTACCATACCTATTTTCATTTTACTCACTCTGTTTTAATAATGCAAACACTCAATCATTCTTTTATTTAAACACGTCACATTCTTTGTATCTAGTTTTCAATGATGGAAAAAAAACTCTTCGATTTTTTTATAGTTGGGGTTGAATGATATATAAACAAGGTTTTTATAGAGAAGTCGACGCGAGTCTGGCTATTTCCATTTGTGATTTACGGGCCAGTTTTGCTCAAGGTATTCCTGGCATCCGAGAACTTTCCTCTAGACCACCTTGGTGTCATCAGAAATGTTATTGTAACTTGGGATACGTAACCCTTTGTCGCGTGTGATGTCGCAGTAAATTGTAAATATGTTATATCGGGCGGGGGTCGGGGTCGGGTTCAAAGTTTGCAGCTTTATAACCCAATAAAGTAAGGCACGAATTTGAAAATTTGATAATTTTGGCCCTCGGGATACTCAATCTGCGGTTTCTGTATACTTGTCCCGAGATTATTCCATAGTTTGTTTTCTTATTTATGGATTATTGATGATATTTCACTCGTAAATATTTATGTATTTGCTCCGTAATTTCTGGTCTCAAATTATATACTTTCGGCTTTAGCTTTTTACATTTAATTTGAATTTTTACATCAAATAACTTTATTTATTTGAACGTCATCGAACTAGAAATGTTTAAAGCATTCATGTAAGTTTAATGAATATATCACAAAAACCTGTTGAGAGAATAATATTCTTGTCTGGTGAGGAAATTTTATAAATATACGCAAATAATGAAGTCGTACCTTAGTTAATCTATGTATAAACTAATACAAATGTTTTCTATCTAGGATTCTCTTGTAATAAAAAAAAATGCAAGAAATTGGGTTATTGGGCCTGCGTTATTTTCCAACATGGATAAAGAAAATCATTAAACCAACAATTTGCGGTAGCTGTAAATCTTTAATTTATGAATTTGTGTAATATATATGTATAAAAAATATATAAATATCTATGCTGAAAAGATTAAATATGGAGAAGGAACACCCGCCAAGCTCATCATTCATTGCAACAGGAAAATCTGAAGATTTCCTGGTATTTTGTTCTTTTTGAGTCAATCCTTTAATGAACGAATGACATGAGTCCGATGACAGATGGAGGAGGGATATCGTTTGTCATTTCTCTTCTGTTTTGCATTACACTCACGTTCTTCTGGCTGACTCATCCTCTCCCGGCTTAATTATCGAAATACTAGTAACAGTTATATTAATAAATTATCTATAATTGTAGACAATGTGCAAACGAGAATGGCGACGGCCGAACGGGATGGCAGTGGATAAGCATAAGCCCATTAAGGCCTATAGTGTATTCTGTGGCGCTTAAACGGTTTAAAAAGATCAGCAGTCAAGTGGGAAGAACAACGTATCTTGTTATCAATTGAAACACTTCTCGAAAATCGTTCTCAGGCGGCGTGAAGCATCAGTCACGATTTTATGAGGTATGTCTTGTCACGTGGCCACGACACACGACCTCTTGTCACGCAACACTTTCATCGGATAACTCACATTCTATCGGACTTTGCGAATTGGTTAGCAAATTTATGACAAATTGGATTCAAACGTTACTTCTAAGTTTTCCACACTCCCAGAGCTTGATGGATATGCGAAGGAGAACCCGTAATTACACAAGATGTGGCAATTAACTTTACTGCAAATTTAGGTTAAAATTATGCATAAAATGATGTTTCAGGCGTGGTTTACACTAGCGAATCGAGGATAGAGTTGGAATGGATCTTGTGGGCTGCGGGTTACGATTGTGCGGCGCGTTTATTTTCTCCCTTTTATCATTGTTCAAATTTCTTTCACAACGCATAAAATATGCAACCTTTTGCTTCATAACAAAAAATTCATCCAAACAAAAACAGATTACCGGATTGTAACTTTCTTGCCTGACGGGGTATGCGCTTAAAATTTAGCCTTGGATAATGATTACATTTATTATAGTCTTTGTGTTTCATAATTAGGTATTCAAGCAAAACAAGCAGAGTTTATAAGAAATTTCAAGGATTTCCTTTTTAAAAAAATCAACCGATAGTCTCAAAACATAAATTAGAGACAGCTTTTCGATGGACAAACACAAAACGACAAAGATATTGTCATTATTGTCTAGCCTATTATCAGTGTTACCTGCTCGAGGATGTGGTCATCAGAAAATTCGTGGGACACAACTCATTCGGGCGATATTTTACGAAGAAACAATTATTTAGCTAAAGTGTACTTCGTCATACGTCGATAGATTACGTGTAAATTTTGCAGATGGAATAACTTCTGAAAATTATGCTGCTTTCAATTAGTGAAAATGGTTAGATGCTATTCTACTTGATGGTTTTGCCATGTTACAATCATATCCCCATTTTCGTCAATGGTTCTAGCTAAAGTAACATTTAGCAATAATGGGTCTAGCTCCATTGTAAGACTTAATAGACTTGAATTAAGGAAGTTAACTAATGCCTCTACAGTTCATTACAGAATCATTTATTTAGTTTTGTTTTGCTTCGAATATTTCTTTTGTCTAGGAATAGCTTTGGATAAATTCAATTTAAAAAAAAGAATTCCAAGTTGGTTCCGGAAAAATTCCAAAAAATTAAGTGATTTAAAAGTCAGTTAATCATTAAGGAGACCAAATTGCCGTCTTATTTTGGAACCAACCGTAGCGATTCTTTAAAACATAGTTTAAGCACAATTTGCGTTTTATATTTGCAACAAGGTAAACTAACTTATGGACCACCCAAAATTTATGACAATGTATTATAGCCTAAAACTGCTTAATAATAGAAATGTGTGTGTGTGTGTGTGTGTGTGTAAAGAAGTCACTTTTTGCGCCTACTACGCGATTTTAGGAATTAAATATAGAAATAAAAGTGTTAATTTCTAAGTTAAATGATAAATAGTATCATTTGTATAAGAAATAAATGAAGCTAAACCGGATCATTTCTGTAGTCTAGATGCGAGAACATTAACACTTTATAAAGACCAGTTTGATGTAAGAATATGTAATAACGCAACACACGCTTTAATTTAAACTGTTATGAATGTTTAATCCGCATTGTTCACTTCATTAAAAATAATGAGTTCGGAGTCATTAACGAGTTTTGCAAACAAACGAAGAAGTTTGACAAGATTGGAAGACAAGTTGGTCAAATATTTACATGTCGGCGAAGGATGCCGTCATTGTCGAAGGACGTAAATGAAAGTGTTTTCTAATAAAAGAAAGAAAAAAATTCGAGACAGTAAGGGGAGGAGGCACGATGTCCCACTACGTGTCGAGAATTTCCAGACGCCGAATGAAGCAATTCGGTGAAGATTTGCGACCCACCCACCCGAAATAGGCTGCATCCGTAATACTTCCCTATCTGCCTTCTTGTAAGTGCTTGTAAACATTTCTATTTTCTCCATTTTGGACGGTTCCTCTCATTTATCTCGCTTTCTTCCCCCACATACCGACATTTTTAATTTATATTTTATAATTCGAAATTTTTACGTAATCGCTTTGTGTTTTATCTCGTAGAAACCAGTTATTAAAAATAGGAGGAAAATACATTGGAGTGAGTTACGATTGCCTATAGGCTAACTTGGTAAACAAGAAGTAGACTGTGCGGATCGTTTGTTGCTCGTTAGCATTCGAACATTTTACTGTCCAGGCCGATAATACTGTATTTATCTACAGGTGTGCATAATGCAAATTTAAATATTTCGAATGTTTTATTCTACGCTTCGCACTGGTTGACATTTCTCTAAAATTTCTATCCAGTACCTCTCTTCGACGTGTTGCTTATTTTCTGTACACTTTAATGTATATATTTTCTTAATTGCGGCTGTATACTTCGTGCAAAAATGAATAAAATTTACTTACAAAAATTTAATTCCTGAGTAAAGAAATTAGATTACTTACGGAATTACTTAAACGTCTATTAATTAATTAAATTTTATAGATACAGCGTGAAAATTTGCACAAAAATTTCATAATTTAAAAGTATAGAGACGGTATTTCCGTACGGAAACGACTAGACAATATTTAATTTGCGTAATTGCAAATACGAGATTAATGAAGTGTAAAAATGAAATGAAAATCTTGAGGATGTTTGCAAATATTTTGCGGTGTTTCCGGGCCCACACCCGCGCGCGTTGTTTTAATTTTATTTACGGTTAAGGACTAGACTCACCTGCACATCTGTAAAATGTTGGGGCTGTTGGCGAGCATTTGTCCACCAATAACGATCGCTCGGGAGTACGGAGAATGGGTTCAGTTCATGAAAAGGAGAAGAGGACGTCGCTGCCACACCACACGAAACGAGAGCACCTGCGGCCACTCTGGCAAATCCCAGCGACTGCGGATGGGGGTAGAGCGTGTACGCGCCACACTGGTTACCTCGCGACCATATGCGGCTCTCCTGCGCTCGATACCGGTTGCTGTCAGCGCTCGGCTTTTGCCAGTCCCACCGACTACACGTGGACCGGTAACTCGTCCCATTGGTGGACGGCGCCCGATGACGTCCGGCCACGTGACGGCCGCCCGTCGACCAATGGGGGCCTCCCCACGCCACCGGACCATTGGTATGTACGGCAGCATCCCGGCCGCCTTTGATTCTTAATGCGACATTATTCCTACAGGTGTGATAATGAGAAATTGAAATCTCTCGCGCAAATACAAAGCTCTTTATTAAATCGGATTACGTTCCTCCGATCATTAATCTGAAATGCGATTTGCCCCTTTGCATCGGGTCTCCTACAAAACGCATGAATTTTTTTCCCTTTTCGGACTCTTAAAGCCCAGACCCAGAAAGCTTATATATTTTCTTAAGTTTTGATCTTTCATCCCTTCGATTTCTTAAACGTTATACCCAGTTAAAAACGGGAACGAACGAACTATTTTACAGCATTTTTAGCCAATACATCGTACGAAAGTTCGTTGCAATCACAGAAAACTCGAGAATTTCGAAAACTTATTCCGAAACTCCATAATTTATTTTCAAATGCACACTCGAAACTAACCTAACCTAGCGTAAAATAACGCAATCGGCGTTAATCCCTGAAGTATTTACTTCTTTGCATTACACGCGCGCTTTCCTCGTCGGACTAACGGGGATATTTTTCTTTGTTTTTTTTTTAAATTAAGCATTTACAAAATTTAAAATTAAAGGAAAATACACTCTTGTAATTTATAATTTATCGAAGTTCCTTTAACGGGTAATTTATAGCGACATTATCGGTTCGAAACGCGACTCTTTCATTACCTTATTCTACCATTTTGGATATCGGTCTTTGTACGCCGAAGCTCCTCTCTCGAATCTAGCCAAATAATACTTATTGGCCATTTAAACGGCAATTTCGGGAGGGAGTCGGTGGCATCTGGTCTCTAACCAATAGCCTAATGATGCGGCAATCTAGCAAAACGCCCGCAGCTACCGCCGCTCGACAAAGCTCGAAAGAGTACGGATAGTCAATCGGACGGACAAAAAATTGCTTGATTTTTTTCGGACTATAACCCGTTGGCTTCTTTTATTTTAAGTGTTTTCGTTTCGAATTCCGAAAACTTGCTCGACCAAGCGTGAGAGTAATCTTGTTAGTGGCTGACGTATCAACTCCTACTCGAAACCGCAATTACCCCTGGGCTAAAACTCTGACAGCTAGACAATGAATCCGCTGTTGCCTCTTTTATTGTTTCGTACAGAATATTTTTTCAGTCGGAATGAAATTGGATGAGATGCGAAAAGACTTCTTTACTTAAAGAAAAAAAATTAAAAAATATTATATATATATTTAGTTATAAGCGGGAGCCGAGGCGCTTGGTTTTATTCGAATCTTTCCACCGCCCTGGGCTGTCTTTTCCTCTATTATTTCGAGTCTTTTAGGAAATTATTGATGGCGTGATGTCACAGGTCATTAAAATATTTCGCATTCGAAGGACGATTCGGTCATTAAAGAGAAATTAATGTGTTTTAGGTGACGTTTCCACCGACGAAACGAATTCTTCCACACTTTACGTGTAATTTTTCACCGAAATTTTCGTCTAACAAAAGAAAGATACAACGTCGTATCGAATGGAGTAATGATTTCGAAACAATAAGTTAAATGTATCGAATCGACTGGGTATAAATTAATCATAAATATTACCGATACGTAATTAAATTTCGAGTAAAGAGGAAAATGTTGTAAGTCGACGTTGTCACATAAATTAAGTTAATGCGACTGGGGTTACTCTAGACAAGAAGAAAATTAATTTACGACCAAATATGGCCGACGGAACTTTCTCAATTAGCGATATTTTAGCCGGGATCGTGCCCCCTTTTTTTATTATTTACTTATTTTTACGGTCGACGTCTAAACGGCACGAAATATAACAAAGGCCTCATCTCCGATCGGGCCGTAACCCAGTTAAATAAATGTCGGGGGTGCGGGTAGATTGTCCCCTGTCTATGGAATAGTAGGACCTCCGCCTGATAATCCGGATGTATCCCCACCTACCCCAGAGTCCGTGGGTCATTACCTCTCACGGTAAAGTAGTGGGCGGTATAAAAGACACGGAGTGGCTCTCTCGTCTCTAAATGGGTGAATTGAACTTTCGATGGGTGGACTGTCTCTGCAAATTGTCCGTCGTTCAATCTTGCCTTCTAATGGTTGCTAATAGCATCTAATAACGGTAGGCAATTTCTAATCGGCATGCCACTTTGCTCTCTCTCTCTCTTTCTGTAAAGAAGTGCACGGGTAATTGTTTGAATTTCGGAATGCTTTTAATGAAATGCTCGTCTCGTAAACTCGAACCCGTTCGAGTTCTCGAAACGACGACAAAACGGCAGTTTAGCGAATAATCACAGAGGATTTCGTTTTTGAAAATTCGTCCTACCTAAATTACGTTTCTCACGTCGTGTCGTCCGTGTTAAAGTTATTTCTCGTTGACATATAATTACGATTGTGTTAATAAACAATATCGATTCGTTCCTTTCTTGGAGTGTTTATAAGTGGATAGGACATTATCTGGAGTACTTTTTTTTTCCTAACGTGAGGTTATTGTTGAAGGTGATGGGACGTTACTTATTGTCCGAAAATAGTTCGTCTTTCAATCACGAATCGGTTCCATATAGGTTATTAACCAATTTACGCTGGTACACACTAAATTTAGCCGTCGATTACCGGTTGATAAAATCTAAATGACGCTTCCATTACAAATAGATTTTATTATTTGTTTAAATATTAACTGGATTATGTGTTCTTATGTAAAGTCATATTTATTCCCGAGTTTAAAAAACTTAAAATTTTTATAGAGCCAGGATTCAATTAAATTTGAAACCGTGAATGATCGGATGATTATGAAGTATATTATTTGGAATGATACCGGACAGTGGACACGTGGAAGAATTGTTTATTATTTAAATTTCCCTTAAGTGAAGTTAATTATTTTTTACTTTTTATACAATTTATTTGCAGTTTTTGCTAAATTTTTAATGTTTACAGACAGCAGAAATTACAAAAACTAAGTAGCCTACGTATAAAACTTTATGTATTAATATTTTTGTTTATATCTGATTATTTTATAGGTTTACATAAAATATATATATTTTTTTATTTTTAAACAAAATTTAACTTTGAATAATAAATTGCAATTATGAATTGTAAATAAACCGATTTGTATAAGTTATTTGTTCATTTTCTTCTAAAAACATTGTAACTAGCGGAAAAAATTGCGTAGCTAAAAATAATAATGTAAAAGAAAAAAATTTGAGAATTTTCTCGTTCGTTTATCTCCTTTCGTTTGGACAAAACGATTAAGAATAGAATAATAAAATTTATTAGGCTACATGGCTGATATAAAATTAAAACTAGGTTCTAGAAATGAAGAGGAAGAAGTTGTTAGTTTGGTTCTCCTGGGAACGACGAAGAGGAGGAAATACTTTTCTTTATATTATTTTCCTGTTCGACTCCTTAAATGAAACCATTACGATGTTGACAATGACATTCGCAGATTCTCTGTGTGAAATTCGAACAATGCTTCTCTTTAAAGCTAACGAGGTCCACAATTTGGAAATTATATCTCCGCTCCATTTATTAACGAAGAAAAAAATATATACTTACTTTTTTTAAATCGCAATTATATGTACAATTTTACAATCAATCTTGACGCACAGACCTACAGATAAAGTGTTTCTTCCGAATGTAAACTAGTTGTAAGCGTATACTTACATTCATTTATTGAACGTTACTGAACTTTTGACCATCGGATTAATTTAATTTAAATAAACATATTATCATAACTGCTATATTTATCGAAGCTTTATTGTAATTGTTGGATACTTTATGTAGTGTTACCGTATGGTGCTTATTTGTAGAATGTGCGTGAGGTTCGAATGTATAAGATGCTATTGACAGATGTATTAATAAATGGAATTTAATCGAAAACAAAAATAGAGTACACTGCAGTTATAGGCTACACGTTTGCATTTACACATTTCGCAGATACGTTGAATGCTGAGCTTCTTAGTATTTGCTCCTTAACTTTTCTTATAAGAAATTGCTCGTTAACGTTTTTAACTAGTGTTGGTTACACTACTATTACATTAAACTATTGTTTGGAAACTGTTTCTATGCTATTTTTTACCACAAAATGTGCAAAAACGCAGATGTCTTCGTGACTGAAGTGATTATCATTTAACACAAACAGATAGCCATAATAACAGTTGTAACTATTTATTACTTCATAACTTGGTGCATGGTTAGACACTGGGCATTTTTAAAAATCTTAAAGGTGGCCAGTGTTTACCTATGCACCCAGTTGTAAAGTAAAGAATAATTAAAGGAAGACACGGTTTCAGAATAAGTCAATAAAAGTTTTAACATTAATATATTTTGCATATCCAAATGACATTTTGCATTTTGTGTGTAACCATTCTTACAGTTTATCTTTACATTTTTATTGGAAACGATGCGTATACAGTCGACCCCCCTATAACACGGTAGATACGTTCCGGTTTTTATGAATCCATTTTCTACGAGTCCAGCCAATCACAGCCCGGCACGTATGCAGTTTACGGACTAAGGCTGTTTGAAAGGTTTCTTCCATATAATTAATCGATTCTAGACTAATTCGACTCAACATTTCCAAAATACGTATAATTTTTTGGGAATAATCCATATAAACTATGCTATAAACAAAAAATTGTAGGATTACTTACCGAGCATGCACCGTTCGACTACGCCATTGCTTAAACTTGTTTTCGTCGTGGAGCTTGTCATCGAATGGCGCTCACGTGCTTCCTGATTAATTATTTTTTTTGCGAAAAATTCGCTGAACTTTGGAGACATCATTAATATAAATATAATTTTTATGGACGTTAAGTAATAAATGTTTTTAGTATGTCCGCTGCTCGTTTAAACTCGACGGTTTGTACAATATCCGCTATTGGTCTAGAT